AATTCTCGAAGAGATATTTGGTAAAACTGATTTCGCATTGGTTTGGTAAGTTTCATGTAATTAATATATTTATATATCAATATATACTTATAATTTTCATTAAAATAAAGGGCAAATGGTGAGTCCGAAAGTTCAAAAGCCAGCCGAATATTAGATGGAAACAATCACGGAAGAAAGCCAGACTTTCGAGTACTTTCAAAGATAGATGATATCAACAGGGAGTTTTTAATTAGTGAAATAAAACCTCCACACCGTACGAATCCTATTAATAAAAGTATAATAAAGCTGACGGAGTTTATGAAAGGATCATTAGACTTCATCATCAATAGTTATGGTTATATTGTCAGTCTAAAAACTTATGGAATATTAATTTATGGTAAGTTATCAATATTAAAATTTACTGTTAATTCCAAATAGGGGATAAATTAAACTTTATAGCATTGATTTGTCATATGATGGCCTTTATCGTTGTAATCAAATTTCTAAACTATTGATTCCAACGGAGAATGCAAATTTTCTAAACATCATTACCGTGGTATCTACGCTATATTCATTATTGGTAAGAAAATTTCTGTAATCTTCAAACATTTTGCCTCAAAATGTAATATCATTATTTTTATTTATGTAGGAAAGGTTAAGAACTTCTATTAATGCTATAAACTTATCTCAACCATCATCATCCTACCACTCCTATTATCGAAAGTCAAATTCATCACCTAAAAAACTACGTGTATTAAAAGTAAGAGCTTAATAGGTGGTACATAAATTAATACGAATAAATATAATGCATTGAATTTTATTTACTATACTATTTACTTTTTTGCAAACTTTTATATGAAAACATAACATGGGTGAGTATATGCATCAGAAAATAAAGATTATATGCAAATTTTTTGAACATAATGAATTATTTTATTGTATGAATTTTTATTGGGAAAAGTGGTCGCGAGTTCTTTCAGAATTCGTACATAATTCTTATGTGCTAACAAGAGCATATATGCAAAAAAAGTAGGAATCCATCTGACATTATTTTATTAGATTTTTAAAAATACACCTAGATTCATTTTTGGAGACATTAACCTTTAAACTTACGCCCAACGTTCTTGTATGCTTTTTACATATATTGTCAAGCCCCTGGATTAATCTTTATGCGGTATGAGCCTAACGTAAAAAAACTAATCTAAGGTGTTTTTGAGAGGAATGATCTATGCTGACATAATATTACACCAATTGTTTGTGCTTACACTTATTATCTTAGTTGACTCGTTACTGAATTCTCACTTAACTTCAAATTTTATTATATTATTTTAGAGAAGATTTATAATAAATAAATTTCAACTCTCAAGCCAAATAAAGAGTATGCATGTAATATAGCAATGCTATATCATTTTAAATTTTATCAATGTGGCTTTTTTTTAGTTGTAATTATCATTATGATATCAATCAAAAAAATAAAGAAAATATGAACTTAAAATGTCATAATTGAAATGATATATCATTTTTTATTACCATTACTAAATTTTACTGTTTGGTGAAGAACCATGTATAAAGAATAGATTCTTTTGTAATTATATCATCTAATTAATGTATTTATATATTTATTAATAAGTTCATGTAGAATATATCTTTTGTGGAACGCGATGGAGTTTTATTTGAGGTATCTTGTGTTGGAGTCATTATCAATGATAGTTTCTCAGAATAAACTGATCAAAATCATTTGAACTTTCCTAATTGTATGGTCAAATATCTCATATATTACTACTGCAACTTTTTTGCATTTAAATAAAGAATTGTATTATATATATATATATAATTTTTGCTATATATAAAATTATATTTTTTAATAAATTACAATTTTAAAATATGTTATAAAATTTATAAATCTTTTATTTTTAAATAAAATTTCATTTTTAATAATTAAAATATTAAATATATACAAAATTTTCAACTTTTAATTTATATTTTTTTATAAATAAATAATATTTAAATATATAAATAAATGTTTTAAATATAAATTAATATATTTAATTTTAGCTTTTATAAAGATTATATTTTTATTAAAAAATTTTCAATACTTTGATCTTAAATTAATGCAAAAAGTTACTAATTAATATAATTTTTATTTTTATTTTACTTAAAAAACATTATATAAAAATATTATTAGTTTGATAACTAATTTTTAATATATTTAAAATTATTTTTAAAGTATAAGTAAAATTCCTTCTAAATTTGGAAGGAAAACTATTGAAGGGATAATAAACAAAAATAAATAATAAAAATCAACAAATTATATTATAATGAAAAATAATTAAAATGATTAGTCATTTGAATATCTAAATAACCAATCATTTGTCATTTGTTATTTGAGTCATTTGTCAGTTTTAATCATTTGATAAACAATAGAATAAGATTATCAAGATAATCCTGATTAATGATAAATAATAGTATAGATAGTAGATATTAGCCTTCTAATCAAGGTATTATAAAGATATCAATAGAGTATTTTTATTGATATTAATTTTTTAAATTTGGCTTTCAATTAGATTATTCTTAACTATTAATTAAAATATTTTTATGGTTATTTATTATGTCAATATTATATAAATAGTATATTCTTATTAATAACATCTTATCAAAATTATATATACTAATAATAATATTTTATACTAATATATATTTCTGATTTAATTATAATAAAATTAGAAATTGCAAATAGAGAGGATTTCATCCCTACATAACTTATCAATCTATTCCATTCATTACAGTATAATTTACAAGAATCTTTTATTTATAAAATGAAAAGAACAAATAATTACTTGAAATATATATATAAATTATTTGTTTTTATATAAAAAGAATAGTTTACTAAATTATAATATGAATAAATAAACATAACTAAGAAAATAAATATATTATAAAATATAAGAAAATAAGAAATTAAGAAATTAAGAAATTATAGAAAATTAAGAAAGTTCAGATCTTAGTAATTTATTATGATTACAAATCATGAACTATGATTATCACTATAGTATATATTCAAATCAATTTTTTTCTTTTTAATTTTCAAAACAAATTAAACCATTTTGAAATAATATTTTTTTAGTATTGAAATTTCTTCATAATTTTTATTTTAAAAGTGTTTTTTACTTTTTAATATTTTGTAAAATAGCATCATTTCTTGTATTATGTCATATAATTTATTATTAAACTTTTGACAAATATTTAAATCTCTTTCTTATCAAATAATAAGATTAGGTTTTTTACTATATTATATCTTGCGTCAAATTTTATTAAAAAGAAAATATAAATACAAAATCAGTTTTATCTTGCTAAATTATACCTATATATTTAAATTTAAAAAAATAAAATAAAAAATAAAAAAGAAATTAATATATGAAAAAAATTGATAATTTTGTGAAAATTTATTCAATACTAATGAAATTTAATATATATCATTTCGATACCTACTGAATTTAATTATATATTCACAATAAATTATTTATAATTTTACTTAAATATTATTAAATTCTCTATAAATAAATTTATTTTTAAATTTTATTTAATCTGAAGTTATATAATTAAATCTTCATTTTTTAAATAATATTTTTTATTGATTTTTTAGTAAAATCAATTAATTGACTTATATCATTTGCTTGTGAATAAGATTTAATGATACTTTTAATATTATTTTGATCTTGTTTTAATGTTTTATCTGCATTTTTAATATTATTTTGATTTTGTTTTAATACTTTATCTGAATTATAAAAATCTTTAATATAAGCTCTAAAATTTTTATAAACATCTCCAAACATGATATTTCTACACTAAACTTCAAAGGTATTTTTAATTTCTGTTGCAGTTGGTCTTTTTAATGGATCACTATCCCAACATTTTTTCATTAAATCTATATAACATTATGGAATATTTTCAATATATTTAGGACGTATACCTTGATAAATTTGTATGATAAGATTTAAACTATAAACTTTATCATTAAATGGAGGAACTCCAAATATAAATTCCCACATAATCATAGAAAAACTATATATATCACTAGCTAAAGTATAAGTTTGTTCTTTGGTTAAAATTTCAGGTGCTAAAAATGGTAAAACACCATAAATATCATTATTTTTAGATGATTGAAAATATTCTACTGATTTACATAATCCTAAATCACTAATAGAAAAATTATTATTTCTAATATTTAAAATATTACCATGATGAAAATCACAATATACAAGATTTTTTTGATGAATTTCTTCAAGTCCACTAATGATATTAATTAATTTTAATAATTTATATATCCATTTTTCTTTAACTATATTTGATAAATTTTTTCTTAAACTATTATTTTTTGCATATTTAATTATTACTATATAATTTAAAGTATTTGGATCTTGAGTAAATCCATATAAACGAATAAGATGTTCTTTTGAATATTTTTTTAATTGACTATAACATTTATAATGATATTTCCACTATAATTAATAATAATTAATTTAACATTAATATTTAAAATTAAAAATAATTCTTATTTTCATATCTCATTTAAAAATTCTTCATTTAAATTAGATGAATTGTTAAAACTTTTGAAAATTATAGTAATATTACTATTTCTAATCCAATTTTTATTATCATATGAATAGGATTTAATAAATCCATGTAACCAAATAGCCTTATATATAATAGCAAATCCTCCTTGATCTAAATATTCAATATCTTTAAAATTTTCATAAGAAATCCATTCTAATATCTGCTTTTTATTTTGAGCATTTAGTTGAATTTCTTGAATAAATTTATCAATAAATTTATTTTTGCTAGTCCAATTAGAAAAATTTTGTTGAAATAACTTAGAATTACATTCTTTACACCAATTATATCCAGTATTTCTCATTTTACAATTTAAACATATTTTTATTATTATCTAAATATTTTTTATATTATTAGTATTATTATTTATTTAAATTAAAGATGCCAGTCAAAACTCCCTCAAAATAATTTCGTCATATCCCTTACTATGTTTTTAATATAGTTTCGGCTAATTTCAGATTTCGGGGTTTCGTCGTACCCCTCACTATGTTTTAATATAGTTTCAGCTGTTTATTAATTACCTTTTTTGAGTTTCGTCCCTCATCTTTAATCAGTATTGTCTTATAAATAATATGTATAAGGAAAGTATACAAAAATAATATGTATAATAAATATAAATAAACAGTATAATAAATTCATAAATATTTTCATATACTAGATACTGAAAATCGTCCTTTTATGTATGCAAAAAAATTTCAAAATTTACGTTTAATCAATATATTATATACATTAATTTTGGTTGTATTTTTACGTTTAATCAGTATATTGTATACATTATTTTTGGTTGCATTTTTTACGTTTAAACAGTATATTGTATACGTTATTTTGGTTGTATTTTTTACGTCTAATCAGTATATTGTATACGTTATTTTTGATTGGATTTTTTATGTCTAAACGTATATTGTATACATTATTTTTAGTTGCATTTTTACGTCTAATCAGTATATTATATGTTATTTTTGATTGGATTTTTTATGTCTAATCAATATATTGTATATGTTATTTTTGGTTGCATTTTAACATATAAACATTAAATTATATACGTAATTTTGATTGCAATTTTAACATATAAACATTAAATTATATACTGTTAAATGAAATACCTTTCGATCTAATAATTACATTTCAATGGATATATACTGTCTTATCGAGAGCTTTCCAATGAATATAAATACAAGGTTATTGGATCAATAGGAGCGGAGATAATTCGAAAAAAATGATTGCTATTATAATTCTACAGATCATTACTAAAGAAAGCTGTAAATTCTTAAGTTGCAACCCGATGATTAAAATGACCGAAACCTCAGAAATAATGATAACGTCATTAACTAAGTTTATATAGTTGTTTAAGTTTACTTAGTTTCTTATGTTTATTTAGTTAAATTAGTTAATGAAGTTAACTAAGTTAATAAGGTTTACAATGTTTCTTTAGTTTTAATAGTTTTACTTTATCTTAAATTAGTAACAGAAGTAGATCAAATATTTTATATAAATAGGATAGGAAATTGTTATAGTTAGAACAGTTAGAAATAGTTACAAAAAAATTAGTAAAAGGTAGATTTAAATTAGAGAATTTATTGTGAAATTCATAAATTGATAAGTTCGCCAACAAGAGCTTAATTAGTTTATTGAATTGTATTGATCCACTTATATTTTATTAATAAACTAAACATTATCTTTATAATATTGATCTGTTAAACTCGTGACTTAAAACCCAATTCATTATTATTGCTCTCCTATCGTATTTGAAGTATTCATACATATTCACAATTTATATTTATATATACTTAACATTCCCTGTAGAGTTCTGCAATTCGATTTGATATTTGAATATTTGATTTGATCAAATTCAAATCAAAGAATGATTTATTTGATCAAATCTAAATCAATGTTTGATTTGATTCGATCAAATTCAAATCAAGTATTCAAATATTTGATTTGATTCGAATCAATAGTAAAGCCATCTCCAAAGCTTCAGGAGTGATTTTTACTAAGAAAACAATAGTAAGAAGTGCCTCCGCGTCTTCAGAAATGCCTTTTTTACTAAGAAAAAAATAGTAAAAAGTGCCTCCATAGCTTCAGAAATGTCTTTTTTACTAAGAAAAACATAGTAAAAAATGCTTTCGCAGCTTTCGGAGACATTATTTTACTAAGAACATAGTGTAAAAAAAGCTTCCGCAACTTCGGAATCCTTTTTTACTAAGAAACCTAGTAAAAAAATGCCTCTGCAGCTTCAGAAACGTTTTTTAATAATAAAATAGTTACGAAGCCGAGATGTCAGTTTTTACTAAGTTTTCTTAGTAAAACCGAAGTTGCGATAGCAGTTATTACTAAGTTTTCTTAGTAAATCGAAGTTGCGATAGCATTTATTACTAAGTTTTCTTAATAAACCGAAGCTGCGATGGTGGTTATTATTAAATTTTCTTAGTAAAACCGAGACTGCAGAATTATTTTACTAAGTTTAATAGTAAAAATTCACCTGTTACTAAACTTACTTTGTAAAAGCTATTTTTGAAATTTTTTAATGCAATTACTAATAATTTTCTTAATTTAACCTTTATAATAACTTTATTTTAATATATCAATGTAAAAATTAAAAAAATTTTTTATATTTGATTTGATTCAATTCGATTAAATATTTGATTTGATTTGATTTGATTTGACAAATATTTGATTTAATTTGATTTGATTTGATCAAATTCAAATTGATTCAAATTGATTCAATCAAATATTGAGTTTGATTCGATTTAATTTAATTTAATTTGAAAAATCAGATCAAATTCAAATTGCTTAAATATTTGATTTAATTCGATTTGAGGAACTCTAGCTACTATAATTCTTAGATTTTATAATAGATCTGATATAAATGAGATTTATAATTTTATATTTTTATATAAGAGCAGTTTTATATATCATTTAAGATAACAATAGAACATTATAAAATTGTTAAAATATAATCACATTATAATTGTAATTATAATAATTAAATTTTGATCCCTAAAGTTCTTGATAATATAAATATTTACTTTGTCTGATTTTGGTGAAATATACATCATATGTAAATTATTTGCAGATTTTCTAGTAAATCAATTCAATAATTTTATAAAATATATTGATCATTTACTATATCATATTTTTATGGCAATTCATTATAATATGATTATAATACTACAGTGAGACATCTCTAAATGCATCCCCCTTGGGATCATAGTGAAAATTTGAAAAAATGTGCATTTAAGGAGGGTGTGCATTTAAAGAGAGAAATTTTGTATGATCTTATATACTTAGGGCTGTGTAGAATGTGTATTTATAGAAAAAAAATATATGCGTGCATTTAGAGAGGATGCATTTAGAGAGGTCTCACTGTAATCTTAAATTTATAATTGAAAAATTATATCTTTATTTATTAATTTAATAAAATTATAAGTCATAAAATGAATTGTTTAATAAAACAGAAATTAAATAGTTATAATTAAATTTGTTTAGTAGAATTGAAAATAACTTGCTTATTGATTATAAAAAAAATTTAATTTGTAATGTTATTTATATATATATTATTTGAGGTCTTTTTATTTCATTAATAAATATTTAAAATTAATAGCTAAAAACATAAATGTTAATTTTGAATCAATAAAAGATATAAAATAAATATTTATTATTTATATTAAATAATATATTATATGTAAAAATAAGCATCATAATTAAAAAAAATGGTACAATTAAGATACAACTTGTGGCGCAATTAAATTTCCTTATGATGTAATTAAGTTGCAACTTAATTGAAATTTGAAAATAATTATGGGAATCATCTTTAATTATATGCATTACTAATTTTAAATATGATGGAATCTTGTAATTCTACATAAGATTTTATATGATTCTATAATCTTACATAGAATTTAATCATATTTTATAATTTTATGAACTTGTAACCTTATATAGGATTTTATTGTAAATCTTATGATACTGTAATCTTATGAAAATTTTGACTGTAATATTACATTAAAAACATACAATCTGAAATCTTGTGAAAGATTTCATTATAATGTTTAGCAAATCTTATGAACTCATAAACTAATATAATTTTATAATATAATATTCTAAATAATTATAAAATTGTACATTTAATTTCCAGATATATTTAAAAATATTATGTTTTATGTAAAAATCAATTATAAAAATTTTATATTTATTTAAAAATTATATAAAATATTTATATTATTAATATTTATAATATTAAAAAATTAAAAATTAATATGTTCATCAAAAAATAAATTACAAAAAAAAAATATTTTAATTTCTCAAATTACAAATATTATTATACAGGTAAATCTTCACTAACAAATATTTTAGTCATAAAAGATTCAAAAGTACTACAATTATTGTTTTTGTGTCTACTCATAATCATTTGAATATCAGCTGCTCTTTCCATATAAGGATGTTGATAGACATTTGAACTATTAATACTATTAATATTATGTAAACTATTTCTATATGCTTGTATTGCAGTCATTCTAACTAATGGTCCTAATACACTACGTGATATTATCATACCATGTAATAATGGTCCAAATGGTGGTATTTTTGAATCTCTATAAATATCAACATTATATAGTCCATTGGGTAATGGTGATATTACTATTTGTGCATTTCCAAAATCTCCTCCTATTGTGCCTTTACGATAATCTCTATAATGTTCATTCCATATAATATGTACATGATCATTTCCAATATGTCGTTTCTTTAAAAAAAAGAAAAAGAAAAAAGAAGTTAAAAAAAATGCTGATGATAATTTAACACCATTGTTTAATAAAATGGATATCACTCATTATTACTGTCAAATAAGTTCTAAATGGTATTGAAAAATAAATTATAGGTCTTTAACGTACCTTTCTTAATTGTTTTGGATCATTTGGATCAGTTGGCATCTTGGTTACATCATGAAATATAATTTCAATAGTTGAGGTACAATAATAAATAGCAGTTAATCCATTTGAAGCATTCCTTTCTAACCCGCCAAGATAACCTGGGTGAGTAGTTAAATCAATTTCCCATCCAAGACTTTGCACAAATTCATTATATTCTTCACTTCCATTTGTATTATGTAAAATACTTTGTTCATCTTCTTGTCCGGGTCCAACGTATAACAAAGCAAATTTAAATACTTCTCTTGCATGCCTTTTATCTAATAATCTAATATCCCTAAATAATGTATTTCCTTTATGTAATACACATATTGTATCATCATTTAATGATTCTGGTGTTAACCATCCAAAGTGACTTAAAAACAATCTACATTGCTGATATGGTTCTAAATGTTTTTCGGCTACTGGTGGCAAAGCTGGTAAAAATGATTTTGATAATGAAAAATCTGCTCCAAGTGAAAAATATGATGTAGATCGTGAATATAATGGATTTCTTGAAAGTTTATTAATTTTATCATCTTGTAATATGCTATTTCTTAACGAAATATCATTGTCATACCAAGATTGTCTGAAAAAAACGAACAAATTTAATAAATATTTTAAAAGTAATTAAAAATTTTTTTCCTCATCGAAACTTACGCTTGAAGATCTGTAGACTTGTCATAAAGAAATTCTTCTTGTGTATGTCTATCCAATTCTTTTTCAAGCGACGACAACTCTATTGATCTTTGCGGATACATTTGATTTGTTGCTTCATATTGCGAATATGTCACTTGTTCGCCGATACTATTTGTAATAAAAGTAGTTTCATAAGATAAAATATTTTTAGGTAATTGTAATAATATTGTTTTAAGCCATACTTACTATTGAAGTATATTATCCAACATGTTAGTACGTTCAGATTGACAATTTTCCGTCAATGCAGGTAATCCATCGAAAATTTTACTAGATATATTTTGTGCATCCATCCTCAACAATGTTGTCCTTCTTTTAAAAAAACAAGAAATATATCACACACATATATTAAAACTTGATGCAATAAAATAAACGCGCTTAAAAAGATAATGAAACTTACGAATTAAATCCTGAATAATTAGGTACCAGTTTAATATCTGGTCTAAAAATCATATTTTCACATACTGTATTGTTAGGTTTAATTAAATTATTTAAAGTATTTAAAGTGGAGAAAGGTTTATTTTCATAAAATAATTTAGAATCCCATGAATATTTTCCTGTAAAATCACGAATTATCATTCGTGATTCTTTTTTTTTTTTAAAAAAAAATATATATATATATTTACACATTATAAATTTTAAAGGTGAATAAGCTTGCTTCTTGTAATATAAATCCTACCTGATGAACTTTTCCCCGGTATTTCAACTAATGTTATTATTGTTGTATCATTAAATGAAAAATAATGATAGTTATTTGAAAGTTCATCATCTTTTGTGTCAGTTCCAATAGGTCCTACCAGTGTACTGATGATATATATATTTAATTAATTTAAATTATTTTTTTTTTTAACATAATATTAATGGTCTTTCGTTGATATTTACCTATGCATCATACCTGGTCCATGTATTGGTGAAAAATTACCCAAGTGGTGCGTTAAATGTAACAAAACAAATTCTGCGATGTCCTATAAAAAGAAAGCAAAAGTATATAACAAATCATTATTATATAAATTTCCATAACCGATTAATAAATAGAATAATACCTTAACAAAGTTTACATCCTCTACAGAGTTATCGGCTCCAAAAACATTAATGCTAATATCATCCCCCATCTCACGATTAACTGAAATTTTTTTCTCAGCTTTTTTAAATTTTATTGGATGATCATTATTTGACCGTTTACTTTTACTATTATATGATGATGCCTTTTTCTGAAATTTATTAGATTCTGACTAATAATTAAAGGATATAAGTAAAAATATTTACACGTATTATTCATTATGATTAAACTATATTTACTTACATTTGACACGTCACAGGCCATTTCAATTGAATCAAATACAAGTTGACATAATTCTGTGTCCGTAAAAAGATTTGAAGGGATAATCATTAGCCATTCAAGAAGGCAATAAAATATTTTGGCTATTATAAAACCTATATGAAATATACATCGAAAAAGTTAGTGTCAATTCAGAAAAATGATAAGATAAAAATAAGTCTTTTACCTCTTCCATTTCTGTGTGATGTTTTTTGTAATGCAATATGTTCATTCAAAGCTCCAATCAAATTTCCAAATACGTCTTGCAGAATCATAAAATATATCTGAGATACCACAGAACTCGTAAATAATTAAGTATTGATAATATGAAAAAATATTTTAAAGCTTCATCGCGTACCTCATCATCTTCACACCATAATGAAGAATTCTGTGCAAAAGTTATTAAGCAATCTGCTGCTGCAGTAACAACTGGTAAATGACTCCAATATAGCTGATCCAATAAAGCCTGAAAACAACCTTTGATAACCAATTTATCTGACCTGTGTATTTATAAATTATCCATTATTATTTTAATTTATGATTTATATATTTAATTTATTTATTTTATAATTACCAAGGAGTTGATGTAAGTTCATCAAATGAAAGAGTACATAATCCATACAGCAACATATTATGTGTTTCATAATTGTTAATTGTTTCCTCATTCGAAAGTGACCGTACTAAAGTTTCTTGCAACAATAATCTCAACTAGAAATTATATAATATATAATATTTAATAATCAGAAGTAAATACTTATCCTACTTTTTACAAAAATTAAACTTACCTCGGAAAATTTTATACCATCAATTTGACCAAATTTGGATCCACTCAAACTTTCCTCGTTCATCTTGGTTAAATGTTCATAAGATATATTTGGAACCTTCAAAGAAGGTAACTGATTTACAATACAAACTAGTGAACAAAGTATAGTAATTGCATTTTGTGATGTCCCATCCGTAATATGATCGTGATGTTTTGACAACAAAATCCTGATTGTAACAATTAAACTACGGTAAAGAATATTACAACCAGGAAGATTTTGAGAAAATAATCTTGTAGAATTATTAATAATTGCAGTAGTTATTAAAAAATCTTGATCTGATAATCCTTTTAATAAAGCACGATAAAAATGAGAATAATATTTCTCATCAAAGTCTTTATCGTGACGACATGACATCAATTTGCATAATCCAGCATACGCGAGCGCACGTCCTCGTGCGAATGCCCTATAAAATTTGTTATTTTTAAAAAAAAAGGAAAAAAAAATTTAATTCATCTACATTTTTTATATACATTTTAAATAAATAGTTTAAAAGTTCTCTTACAAAGGTAAATCGCAAGCTTCAAATAACCATGGTGCAAAATCACAAAGTAAAGGTATTGAAACATCTCCATATTGATTGTTTCGGATCTACCAACCGTAAGTTATGATTTAACCTTACTTCAAAATAAAATTAAATCTTTATGAAGAAATTGTTTACCAAAATAAGCATATCTAAAATATCAACTATACATTTAATCGCTTCGGAATGATTTGGTGGAATCTAAAAGAAATAAGACAATCATTGCACAAATAATTAATAAATTATCTGACTTTAACAATTAATTTATAATTTACCTGAATATAATTCAAATTCCCTAATGCACAAAGTAAATTCTTCCATACTAAAAGTGCATTTTCTGTATTCCAACATAACATTTCAATATTAATAAAATCTGGACACCTAAAATTAGCTAATGATATCGAAAGCCTATCACTGCTAAAATTAGGCTGAGCAAAAAATACTGAAGATGATGATGTTCGATTAGACTAAAAGGGAGAAATTAAAGTTGAGTAATAACTTAAGTTTAACGAAAATTTATAATACTTATTAATTTAGGATTACCTTCACTTCTGCTGCATCATCAGCAATTTCGCTATTAGCATCAAAATAATCATCATCATCGCAACATTGATCCTCATCATCAGATGCTATGCTTCCAGAATGAATGGATGATCCTCCACCACTAAATACTGTTGCCCCAATATTCAATAGGGCTTGTGACTTTGATTCAAATGAACCAATGTCCTGATGCATACTCATGGGTCTACGACCTGATTTACGGTTCTCGTTTGCTGTTTTAACAAAAACTGAAAAATCGGTACCCATTATTTCCTCACGCGATGAATTACTACCCGAAGATTTATGCCGAGATGCACTGCGTAACGATAAATGTCGTGTGCGATTATTTTTCGAAGGACGTCGTCTATGAAAATGTCTTTCTGGAGTTGTTAGTTCTAATAGACGACGGTTTAATTCAACAGCATCAAGGTCTACATTATAAATATTTTTTGATAATATCTTCGTCATTCTTAACATAATTTTCTAAAGTGAATTAAAGATAAAGTGAGATTTAATATTTCTTAAACAAAATTAATTTGTATCTACAGCTTACCGCCCATTGTGATATAGTTTGCGACCATCCCAAACTAATGCTCATTCGGTTTGTTAGTGCACGCCATAATGTAAGTTGTTGAGTTTTTGACCGAGCAAATGCATATAATACAGTCTAATATTTTATTATAGAAACAATTTGTCTTTAATTTCAGATTTCAGATCCTCTAATATATTCAATTAATTTCTCAACCAGCAAAAACACATACTTCAACCAGATAATCAGCAAAGTCGTTAGCCAACGCAACCGTAGATATTGGCGCATATTTCTCAGATTGATTCATAGTCCTCTCTTGTATAACCAAAAGTGATGAAAGTAACGTCTCCCTTAATCGTAAGAATATTTAGTTGCATTATTCGAACTATGCTTAAATAAAAAGAATACTTAAACTTATATAATACCACGTAGCTGGCTCTAATTCAATGGGACCCTCTGCCATCATTGAACGATATAATGCCAATACATCACGATAAATCGAAACTTGTGCTTCAACTTCGACATTTGCCATTCCTCCATCAATAGTCAGTGATGAATGATCTTCGAAAACAAGTGTTAATAACACAACATACCTACGAAGGTAAACATTCGCATTAGCATATGTTGTACTTAAAGAAGTAGCTGACAAAGGGGTGTTAAACGGTGTATATGATGGTTCACTTTGACATTCTGGAGAAGGTAATGATGAGTGAGATGAAGAAGCAAAGATAGAAGAAGCGAACGCAGAATTAGCAGAACATATTGGTTGAGGAGGTGGTGGTGATTTACGAAGAAAAATTGGTCGTTCTTCTTCCTATGATATATATATATATATATATATATTTATTTATTTATTTAGATATTAATTCATAAACACAAGTTAAAATGAATATAAAAATCTAAAATCGCTATTTCCGATTAAATGTCTATGTGACAGATATTTTTTTTTTTAAAAAAAAATTAGCAGTCTTTGATTTTCATTGGTCATAATCGTCAATATGTATACTAACCCCACTTAATATCCAGACTCCTACAATGTGAACAGCACCTCTAACTATATCTTTGTATAATGGACTGCCAGCTGGTAGCATGAGAGCCTGTTTTACAATCTCGTGAGCAAATTCCCGATTTTCTGTACCCAATACAATTGACTTTAATATCGGTGTAGCAGGTGAGGGATATGAGGATATTGTATCGGAAATCATATCATGATTATCAAGACAGTGATTTATCAAGAAAGTTATAAATACACGCAATATTGTAGGCGGGCATTTTTGAAATCCAATTTCTTTATAGAAAAAATAAAAATAAAGCATGTCAATAAATATATGAATAATTTAATATTTAAATAATAATATAACTTGCCTTGATTTGACGGTATTAAAGAAAGTTGCTTTGCGCATTGTGGAAATAATTTTACTAAATATTGTTTTTTTGTCAGTTCGAAATGAAATTTCGCCGCAGCAAACGCAGCATCAATTCCCATGCCAATAGCGATTCCATTATCTGGTTCAATATTTTCATTGACAGGAAATTCATAATTTTCTGATGGGGGTGTTGAACCTGCTGCAACATGAGCTAGCCTAACAAGACTGCTAAGATCTAGCTGAATCAACTGAACAGCATCATGAAATGATGGTGGATGAGGATTTGGGAACAAAGCACCTCTATCGTCAGCTGTAAATTAGTATATTTAGTTATACTGTAAAATGAGGTTATACTACATTAAACCTTCTCTCTTAATCGGACCTAACCTTTGATTAATTTTTGTCCAAGTGACATGGTCCTTTTAGACCTCCACATATTTTCTTTTCCTTGATAATCATCACACCCAGTTCGTATTTGATCATAAAAGAACAAATCCAAAGAGATAGCATTTGCATATAAATGCATGCATTCTGTAAGTTCTATCGTTTGATCATTTATCCATAACAATAAAAGTTGAAATCCTTGTATTCGAACTCGAGGATGATTCCCATGATCAAGGAGGTGTGATAACATTTCAGCTTTTTAAAGTTTCATCAATAAATTAATATTATGTCAAATTACATATATATATTTCTTATAATATAACTAAAGTACCTATTTGTCTGCGTTGCCATCCACCCCTTATTCGTTCCGGTAAAAATAAAAATACTTTTCGTAATAAAAGTAGAGTCTTATTTATATTTAAAAATTCTTTTGATGAAAATGACATAGGACGTTCTGATTTTTCTTATATGTAGAATAAATGAATAAATGAATATTTTAATATAGGTATCCTTTTTTTTTAAAAAAAAAAAAAAAGTTATTTTCTCACGTTTAATTTTATCAACTTGGCTCATAAATGATTTGTGAATTACATCGAAAACCTCTTCAGCATGCTGTTGAAAGAATTGGGCTTGATCAAATTCAATTGAAACATCTTTGATTTATTCACATTATTTTAAAAAGAACATTACAAAAAAAAAAAAAAAAATTGGTTACTATATGATTAAATTTAAAATAATATAATTGTACAATTAAAGTAGTAGTCTGATATTTAGCATATGTAATGAGCTTGTTATTATAAAAGATAATATATGACGCGTCAAAAATAAAAATCCGACCTTAATATGCACTCACCGATAAAACTCCATAAAGAAGCTATTCTTGATTTCGGTCGTTGTCTATGATCTAGAAAGTTTTTTGCTTTCTTTAGTAATTTATCCATTCGATCATCTTTTGGTACATTTTTATTGTCTCTTGAAAATAATGACGAAGTTTGTTTTTTTTGAGAAGAAACCGATGAACTAGATGAATTAGGATATTGAGATGAAGATCCATGAGGGCCAAAACGTCTGCTGTGTGGATTATTATGATTAATCTTATTAACTGAACCATTACAAGCGTCAATGTTGTTTTCAACCAAAGAACCTTCTTCAGCAGTAGCAGATAATGGGAAAGACGATTGTGTAGGTGATATAGGTAAATGATGCGAACTATGTGTACTAGGAGGGCGAAGTGCTTTACTTGTAGTTTTATTCATGTCCTGTAATTGTTCTTGCTCTTGTCGTCGAACTTGTTGTGGTTGTGGTGGTGGTTGTTGCTGTTGTGGTGGTAATGGCAAAGGTGAAGCAGTTTTGTCAATAGTGGGACTAGTTGGTGGTGGGTTCCGCGCCTGAGTTATCTGTTCATTACGGGGTATAATTATCCCAGCGAGGAAATCTTTTGGTCTTTGAGTTGAAAGCGAAGCACGTCTGTGTACAATGTGATTGATAGCAGTTGCAATTTTTTGCTTTGCACTAGTATTTGAAGTACCATCGCCACCACTCAAAGTACCTCTTCTAGGTCTCCTCATGGATACATTACGCAGTATCGAAGTATTCGAATTATCTTTGCTCTTATTCTCGTCCGCATCCATTTTTTTCAAAATGTAGTGCGAAACTGCTTGTGACTGCATACAAGGTTATATATGAAATAATTGACATGCAGGTTGATGTCAAGAAAAAGTCTTTTGCATACTTGTTTATACCCCCCCATAAATGTGCATGATTCGCTTTTAGGGAATTACGGATCCGATCAGGGCAAAAGTTAGAACCGCCACAATATTTACCTTCCCAATTGAAAATTTTCCCGCCGTATTTTTTTTTCTTGGTAAAATTGATCGAGATATACCAATACTTTAGAAAGTAAAAGTATAGAAAAACACATTTTATATGGTGTGGATGATACAATAAAAAATTTCTGATATTGGATTTCCGAAATCCCACGGACCCTGCATTTTTTTTTGGATCTACGTTAATGCATTTATGCATTTATGTACAGTAAGGGAATCCCCCTTAAATAAGCATTGAGGTATTTGAGGTTAAAATTATAATTATAATTGGACTGTATAAAAAGATGTATTAGCAAATTCCCAATAAATGTAATTGCCCAAACAAAAATCTCTCTATACTGACTGATGAATACTAATTTATTGCTTCATTTTGTAGATGATTACCTACAAGCATTGATTACATGTGTAAAAATGAGTCGAATCTGGTTAATTAATTTCCTGAAATTACTTTAAATGTTCAGAACCTTTGAATTAATATTCCTATATGTTTGTTTCACAATTAGTTTGTTGATATCACTAAGATCTGTTTGTTGATTTCCATCGAGATTTTTCTAAACAGTAAATTGACAATTACAGTAAACTAAAATCACTCAAACCACCTTCTTTCTTGGCATGATAAAAAAAATGACCAATTTTAAATAAGTTTATGGATAATATCTTACGTAGAAACTTTTGCTACAAGACACCATGGATTGTTTTTAATATTCGAAAAGTTTTTTACGAATACTTGGATTTCTTTAACAATTTTTTTTTTTAGATATGTGAATGAAATTCATCTCATCAGATCTAAGTGTCTCTTTGGAAACTTACAAGTGAAAAAAGGCGTCTCTTTTATGTCAGATATACTTTGATATGATATTAGGGTTGATTTATTTATCTATTCAACAATATCATGACTGAAACATATATAAAATAATAATTTTAAACCGATGAAATTCGGTTTTTGGATTCGGTTTTTTTCAACGCCGTTTCGAATTTTTTATACCAAACTAAATTATTTTCAAAAATTAAATATATTAAATATAATTTAAAATTATAATTATGTAATAGTAACAATTAGTTATTATAATTATAAATTAACTTGCATATAATCTATCTATTATCAGTTATATAATCTTAATCTTGTAAGAATCATAATTCGAGCATACTGAAATTTTTTTTTGTATTGATTAAAGATCGCATGCTAACAAAATGCTACTATCCATTTAATGGTTTAGCATCAAATTTAGAGGCCATTTTACTTAACGTTAATAATTAAAATAATTAAAAGTTAAATAAAATCAATTTTTTAAATTATTTATTAAAAAAGTAATATTTTTATAATAAAATTCATTTAATAAAATTTAAAATAGCAACAAAATTATTAATACATTTCTATTTAAATACAACTTTAAATATACATTAAACTAATATTATTCTTAAAAAATATAAAAAGCAGTATGTAAAATCTATATACATATATGTATATTTATTTTTTGAGTGATACAAAAAGGTGTGGAGTCCCATGAAGATGATAAGTGGTATACATCATCTCATGTGACATTTACTCAAGTGATGAATAAGATTAACTGGCCAAAATTATAATAATATAGGCTGGAAGTGATATATATAACTTGAATACACTTCATACTAATATCATGTAATCATAATAAATATCACTGATACTACTCATTACCTTCACAAGATTTCACATCTTTTTATATTACCTTAATTTTTGTATTCATATATTACATGTATTACACAACATAAAATATGCACAATTATTACTAAAAATAGATAAATTGTATAAAAATAGATAATTTTACATAACAAATTATTATGATTTTCTTAAATTAGTAATAAATTTATCAACTTGTATACATAATTTTAACTTAGATTTTATTTGTTACGTTATTAAAAAAAATTAGGTTTTATGTTATTTTCCCAATAACATAATGGATATTTGCATAATTGATTATTACATAATTGTATAAATAGCTTTTATACAGTTTAAATTAATGTAATTAATTGTTAAAATCTTGATAATCTTTTGTAATAATAAAAAACTATGATAATATATTTTTGACATTTATTATATTATTTTAATACAAATAATCCTACTAATTACACAGTTTCAACAGGTATTTTAGTAATTTCAAAGGTTATATATAAAAGCTTTGCAGTAGAAAGAGAGGAAACTCTAATGTTAAATAGTATATATAATTAAAAAAATTATATTTAACTTATAAAGTTTATATTATATAACTTTTATATAATAAAATTCTAAAAAAAAAACTTGCTAAACCATGTATTATTTGCAAAATAAAGGAATTTAAAATAAAGTTTTGAAGATTTATAGTAAATAATAAACATAAATCTTGTAACATAAAACTTTGAATTAGTAAATATCATCCAATTTTATTATAATCATTATTTGAGCTAGTTCTGTTAGATCTTTTATAAATACTGGTATAAAAAGATAGCAAAAATTTGATTAGATATAAAATAAATTAATAATGAAGAGAACTTGTAATAATAATAAATATAATAAATTGAGTTAATAATAAAAGTTAATAATCAGTAAAATTAATTTATTAGAAGTATTATAAATTATTTTTATAAATAAATAACATTTATTATTATATATTAAAATATGCATGTTGTTACCCAAGTGAAAATGAGGCACAGCAAATCACATGATTAGAAATGTGATACAAAAAGCATGATTAATATTCATCATCAAAGAAACCGCAGAAAATGATCTCATAATAGAAATGTAATTATAAATTAAAATGTTGATCAATAAAATTAGTATTATATGATATGATATGCCACATCTAAAAATTAGGAGTAAATGTAGTAATTATGAAAAAATATTAAATCATAATTAGGAAATTAGTTATTCTTATATAGTTATGATGTAATAACTATATAATGAAATATGTAGTAATGATTAGATAGTTAAAGACAATCCTTATATAATAATTATCTAATATATCTGTAATTTTAGATCAATTCAAAATGTATAAATAGGACAAGTTAGAATTATTAAAAAGGATGACAATCTGGAAAAGTAATTAATCTAGAAGGAATGTAACGTGAAGAATTAGCAATGATGATTGTGCAATTATTTATAACGTATAATATTTTAATAAAACACTTTCTTTATGTTTAAACAAAATTATTCTTTTATTTATTTCTCATAATATTTGTATAACCCACTTGTGTGTCATTTCTATCATAGTTCATTAAATCTTTATACTTAAATAAATCGTCATGTGATTCAGCTTAAAAAAATCATGATAAATTTATAATCTTTGATGATGGGTAGCAGCAGCAACAATCAAGAATATTTCATCAAATCAACTGAAAATTTGTAACATAATAAACTCAATCTCTTACTTAATAAAAATTTAGTATCTATTATATATATTATTAATAAATTACTATAAATTATAATAATTGCTATATTGTATTTTTGTGTCAAACAATAAATTAATCAATATTATTATACATATTTTCAATACTATTATACAATATATTTATTTTATTTTATATTATTTTACACCTAAATGAATTAATTAATATCCTTTTAAATAGCGTTGATTAATATAGGATTCATATATCAACATGTTTTAACAATAATTAATATATTAACACATTATACCTATTTAAAATTTTCTGATAAAATAATAACATTATTATGTTTAAATATGATTGTCATATAAAAATAAGATTACTTCTCCTTTATGAAAATTTCAAATTACAAGTTATTGAATATTTATATATATATAAGTTTGAATTAAATGTTGAAGATTTTGTAAAATAAAATTATTCTTACTTTTGAAATAAAAGAAAAGATCCTATCTCTTATATTACTATACATAAATGATTAAATATAATCAGTTAAAAATATAAATTTACTTAAAAAAATATTTATTTTAATAATTATAAGTATAAAAATATAATAAAGAATAAAAGTCAATTTTTGTAGTAATAAATAAATTTATAAAATAGAATAATTACTTACAAAAATGAATTTAGATCAAAAATACTAATTAAAATCAAAAAAAAATCGGACATTTGATAAATTTGGCCAAAAATCAATCAAAATTAACATTATTTCAAAAGAATGATAAATCATCATTCTTTAGGATAATAAAAAATCATTCTTAATAAGAACAATCTAAAAATTATTCTAAAAGGATAATATATCATTATTCTAATTAAAAATTATTTCAAAAGAATAATAGATTATTATTTAATAAGAACAAAAAAATTTTGTTTCAAAAGATGATAAATATTATTTTTAATAAGAATAATCTAAAAAATTATTCTAAAGAAATGATTAGGATTCCTTAAAATTGAATTAAATCAAATTAGACTCAAATATTTGATCAAATCAAATTAAATATAAAAATTTTTTTGATTTTTACAATAATATAATAAAACTTTAAAATAACTTTATTTTTAATTAGTAATATGCACTAATTTTTATTAAGAAAAATTTAGTAAACCAATTTTGCAGTTTCAGTTTTACTAAGAAAACTTAGTAAAATAATTCTGCAATTTTAATTTTACTAAGAAAAATTGATAATAACTGCTATTGTAACTTTGATTTTACTAAAAAACTTAGTAATAATTACTATCACAGTTTTAGAACCATTTTATTAATAAAATATATTTCTGAAACAATGGATGGATTTTTTTACTAGATTTTTTAGTAAAAAATGTCTCTAAAGTTATTTTAGCATTTTTTACTATTATTTCTTAGTAAAATAATATTCTAAAGCTACAAAGATATTTTTACTATCTTTTACTTGATA